GTACAGATGACACAACATAGAAAACTAAAAACTAAGCAACACGAACCCCACCAAAAAGTGGGGGTGATCTCAGGTGCTCTGGAAGGGTAAGCAAATCCTGCTCCACATGTGGTACCCGTCGTGTTGCTTACGTTATTACAAATCCGGTAAATAGTCTTACTTCGGTAGGTCACATTAGTTAAAAGGGAAGGGTATTGTAGTTACGACATAACTGACTAACAATTCACGACTTACAATTGAATCAAATGACCCTCACTTTACACCATTTTAAAATGCAAACAATATCTTATTCCTTGAAAGAGGTAGTACATGGGAATGCACACAATGTCAAGATTAACTGTATTCCATCAAACAGCCTAACCATTCTTTTGTTTCCATGAAAATCAGCATTGTATTGCAAATATATCATTAACCAAACGATCCTTTATTTTCCGATTGGTTGAAATATATATAGGCATTGCTAACCACAGTTAATCAAAACCTTGACAACTACTTCCAAAGATGATGAAAAGTAGTTTTTGAATCTAGAATTCGCTAATAATGGTTTTTGATGCTATCAATATAAACGATAGTTTCCAAACTGTGTAGAAAACAAAATCTGATTACTTCAAAGATAGAACTTCACTTGACATTTCATATACCTACACCAAACCTTTTCCTCCCAAGATTTTCAACCACAAGAGGGAAGAGGAGACATTTATAATAAAGGATGTCAATTCCAATCCTCCCAATTGCTATTGTTCCTTGTCCCAAATCAAAAATATCTCGCTCTTCATTTTATTACATGGCATCCTAAACTTATAAATGTGTTAGCCAAAGGCTAGAAATGTCGAAATACCAAGCCCATCGACTGAAACTTTTGTTTACTGTAGGATGAATTTCAGGACTAAGCGCGAGCTAGTTAAGCCAAAAGTACACATATAATCTCAATGGATCGAACTTTACGACGTACAATGAGCACACGAGTTTCTACCATTTTCGAGAAGGCGAAAGTTGTAGATTGTAGTTGTAGATGCTATATATTCTCTTCATGAAAAGTATGATTCTTTTCATATGCACAAATCATTATTTGGAATGTCTCACTCAAGACTAAGAATTTACAGCAAAACTGGGAATCCCACATTTACCATTTCATATTCAAAAAGGAGAAGATTTTAGAAAATAACAAATCCCTTCTTATCAACATAAACAAAACGATTAAAATCTCCCGTCTTTATTCTAGATAACCAAACTTCTAGAAAGACCAATATATAGTCGGGTTTTCAAGATATTTGACTAAAGATCTTTCTAAAGGTCTAACATTCTAACTTTCTGCAGTAAAATATGATGGCCTTCGGAAATATTATGATGAGATATATTCAACCATCGATGTCAATTAGATGTGGATTGTTTAAATTTCTTAAGATCTAATGCAAAATCTTCAATCACAATTTCTTCTCTTTTGCATTTAATATTAAGGTTTGTTTCTACCCTTTAAACTCCTATTCCCCAGGCTCAATCGACAAATAGGAGGCACCGTTTATTTAAACATATTTTTTCTAAACAAATTGACATTGTAGATCCAATCCCTTGTTTTACTGCATGGCAATTTTTACTGTATGAAGTAATAAAGCAAATACACCAAGGACGATATGATCAAAATGCTGGATTTTTTTTTTTCGACAGCATACTTGTTGAGTTTGGGCATTGATATTTGAATAGACAGTCTGTATTTACAATGGGTACTTATTATGCATCCCTACTGTCCGACTTATTTTTTGTCCTCATATGAAGCAGAATTCATATAAAACCTTCTTAAAGACAAAAAGAAAAAAAAGAAAAAAATATCTCGCAAAACTCTTTAATTTCCCTTTTAGATATATCTATGATGTCCTGTACTTAATAACCAACATTTTAGTAATTGCTTGCATCTCATATATCACAGTGAACTTGATATAAAGGATACTACCGAAACAAGATCATTATCCTGATCTTTTTCCTCAATAATGACAAAACATTGAACTAGAATCTTTGACATACGTGATGATTTCAACTTTCAAATTGTCAACTTCCAATTTCTAAGCAGTAAATTATCCTCTGCCCCATTGTATGGCATTTACATATCTCAATTGATATGTGATACTCGTGCATTTTCACACTATACGAACGTCAGGAATTGGTTGACCGATACGATGTTTCAACTCACTAGCCAAATGTGTTCACAGCCTTAGATCTTTAAACACCAGTGTGATCTGTAATTTGACCGATTGTGTATTGTTCCCAAATGAATGTGGATATGCATTGTGATGACGCGTGCATAGCAAAAGACATTTACCTTGTTGACGCTCTTCACCGTTTCTCTCTCTCTCTTTGGAGTTCATGCGATTCTCTCAAATATTTTTTGTTACCCTGATTTGGATATTCTTAATCGATTTATACCGGTTTGAACATCGGTATACTACTGTTGCATAAATTATTCCTTTTTGCACGTATTGATCAATATGCAATGTTTACCACACGACCAATTCGGACCTCAGTGAATCTTTTTTTTTAAAGACCTTTAAACACAAATATGCTGCTCAACGTATTAGATAAAATTCAAATTTAGAATTACATGCATGGCTTTATCTTTTTGTTTGGATAATCTCCTTAACTACAGGTTATAAAACTGTCAATGGAGTAAAATTTTAAACCTAAATGAAACATAAATCTCACTCTTAATTACACATAATTAAAGATTGCGTGTAATTGATTAAACGTATCTGATCATCAGATCAGTGAAGGCTAGAAGGCAGTTGAAAATTCTTTTTTATTTATCTAATTTTATAATAATAATATATATTTTAAGTATCAGAATGGATAACATGTATTTATTACTGAACAAGAATTTCAGTGTGTTGGTTCATTGTTTAAAGGACTCTGAATCTTTTCTCAATGTTCATACATAACATTTCTAAATCAAGCTTTTTACATCAATGTAGTACTCAGACCCAGACAATTTTCTTATTCTAAATAATTAATGGTCTGGAAGTATTGTCAAGCATTGAAAGTTATTTGTTTCAAAGGCTGGTAATACAGTAAAATTTGCCAGGAAGCAGAAAGTTGAAAATAAGGCAGCTTTGTGACAACAACAGATCTGAATAAGGCTTTTGAAAGAACTTTACAGTCATATGTATACGTTCGATTTTGTCTTTACTTTACTTTAAAATGAAGAAAACATGCAGTTGTTTATTTTTTAAACTAGATTCTATTTTATCAAACTATTCTACTAAAGTAATCGAAATGTTATCGAAATGTAATCAAATATTACATCATATTGTATGCTTTAATCGATTAAATTACGATAACATTTAATCGAAAATTATGACGATTACAGATTACTTACGATTATTTGGGAAAATGTAATTCATTACAATCGATTATAATTACAGGTTACGATTACGCAAACCCTGGTCGACTTGCAGCTCAATATATTATATAGACATTTTGGTACTGGCATGAAAATACTTATATAGTTTGATTGAAATTTGATGTTTTAAAATTTGGAAATCATTTTGACTTAAGCATTATAATGTCCTAAAAACTTTGATTCCTTGTCTCGATTTGGCTATACTTTGTTTCCTTTCTGGTTTTAACAGTTCTGCAACATTTGTATATGGTTTGGGATTCTTAAATAGTTTGGCCTCGAGCATCACTTAAGAGACATAACTTGTCAAAATGCGCATCTGGTGCAGTGAAACTGAACCGTTAATGTTGTCTTTTATAGAATACCGTGTGATGACTACTAGATGATTTTTTTTTCTGCATTGAGTTTTTCGTTGAATGAAGATTAAATTTACGAAATACTTGCTTTTGTTCATATGAAAAAAGAGTTTTGCAACAAATTTCTGTATATCCATAACAGAAACATTTGTTCAACGCTATACATTGTAAATGAAAACAACAGCACTATACATTATTAATGAAGACAGCAACACCAAACATTATAAATGAAGAAAACAACACTATACATTATAAATGAAGACAACAGCACTTTACATTATTAATGAAGACACTAGCACTATACATTGTTAATGAACACAATAGCCCTATACATTATCAATGAAGACAACAACACTACACATTATCAATGAAGATAACAGCCTAATGCATTATAAATGAAGACAGCAACACTTTACATTATTAATGAAGAAAATAGCACTTTACATTGTTAATAAAGAAAACAACACCATACATTATTAATGAAGAAAACAGCCCTAAACAATGTTAATGAAGACAACAACCGTATGCATTATAAATGAAGACAACAACACTATACATTATTAATGAAGAAAACAGCCCTATACATTATTAATGAAGACAACAGCCCTATGAACTATTAATGAAGACAACAGAACTATACAGTATTAATAAAAATGAAGACAACAGCACTTTACATTATTAATGAAGACAACATCACTAGACATTATTGATGAAGACAACAGCCCTATGCATTATCAATGACGACAACAGCCCTACACATTATTAATGAAGACAACAGCACTATACATTATTAATGAAGACAACAGCCCTATACATTATCAATGAAGACAACAACCCTATGCATTATAAATGAAGACAACAGTCCTAGTCATTATAAATGAAGACAACAACACTATACATTATTAATGAAGACAACAGCACTATACATTATTAATGAAAATGAAGACAACAGCCCTATACAGTAATAATGAAGACAACATCACTAAACATTTTTAATGAAGACAACAGCCATATACATTATTAATGAAGACAACAGCACTATACATTGTTAATAAAGACAACAGCCCTATACATTATTAATGAAGACAACAGCACTATACATTATTAATGAAGACAACAGCACTATACATTATTAGTGAAGACAACAACCCGATACAATATTAATGAAGACAACAGCACTATACATTATTGATTAAGACAACAGCACTATGCATTATTAATGAAGACAACAGCACTATACATTATTAATGAAAATGAAGACAACAGCCCTATACATTATTAATGAAGACAACAGCACTATGCATTATTAATGAAGACAACAGCTCTATACATTATTAATGAAGACAACAGCCCTATACATTATTAATGAAGACAACAGCACTATACATTATTTATGAAGACAACAGCACTATGAATTATTAATGAAGACAACAGCACTATACATTATTAATGAAAATGAAGACAACAGTCCTATACATTGTTAATGAAGACAACAGCCCTATACATTGTTAATGAAGACAAAAGCCCTATACATAATTAATGAAGACAACAGCACTATACATTATTAATGAAGACAACAGCACTATACATTATTAATGAAGACAACAGCACTATACATTGTTAATGAACACAAAAGCCCTATACGTTGTCGGTTTGTTTTCGATCTGTGAGTTTGGCTGTCCCTTTGGTATCTTTCGCCCCTCTTTTTAATGAAGACAACATCACTAGACATTATTGATGAAGACAACAGCCCTATGCATTATCAATGACGACAACAGCCCTACATATTATTAATGAAGACAACAGCACTATACATTATTGATGAAGACAACAGCCCTATACATTATCAATGAAGACAACAACCCTATGCATTATAAATGAAGACAACAGTCTTAGTCATTATAAATGAAGACAACACTATACATTATTAATGAAAATGAAGACAACAGCCCTATACAGTAATAATGAAGACAACATCACTAAACATTATTAATGAAGACAACAGCCATATACATTATTAATGAAGACAACAGCACTATACATTGTTAATGAAGACAACAGCCCTATACATTATTAATGAAGACAACAGCACTATACATTAATTATGAAGACAACAGCACTATACATTATTAGTGAAGACAACAACCCGATACATTATTAATGAAGACAACAGCACTATACATTATTAATGAAGACAACAGCACTATGCATTAATTGATGAAGACAACAGCTCTATACATTATTAATGAAGACAACAGCCCTATACATTATTAGTGAAGACAACAGCACTATACATTATTAATGAAGACAACGGCACTATGAATTTTTAATGAAGACAACAGCACTATACATTATTAATGAAAATGAAGACAACAGCCCTATACATTATTAATGAAGACAACAGCACTATGCATTATTAATGAAGACAACAGCTCTATACATTATTAATGAAGACAACAGCCCTATACATTATTAGTGAAGACAACAGCACTATACATTATTAATGAAGACAACGGCACTATGAATTTTTAATGAAGACAACAGCACTATACATTATTAATGAAAATGAAGACAACAGCCCTATACATTGTTAATGAAGACAACATCACTAAACATTATTAATGAAGACAACAGCCATATACATTATTAATGAAGACAACAGCACTATACATTGTTAATAAAGACAACAGCCCTATACATTATTAATGAAGACAACAGCACTATACATTATTAATGAAGACAACAGCACTATACATTATTAGTGAAGACAACAACCCGATACAATATTAATGAAGACAACAGCACTATACATTATTGATTAAGACAACAGCACTATGCATTATTAATGAAGACAACAGCACTATACATTATTAATGAAAATGAAGACAACAGCCCTATACATTATTAATGAAGACAACAGCACTATGCATTATTAATGAAGACAACAGCTCTATACATTATTAATGAAGACAACAGCCCTATACATTATTAATGAAGACAACAGCACTATACATTATTTATGAAGACAACAGCACTATGAATTATTAATGAAGACAACAGCACTATACATTATTAATGAAAATGAAGACAACAGTCCTATACATTGTTAATGAAGACAACAGCCCTATACATTGTTAATGAAGACAAAAGCCCTATACATAATTAATGAAGACAACAGCACTATACATTATTAATGAAGACAACAGCACTATACATTATTAATGAAGACAACAGCACTATACATTGTTAATGAACACAAAAGCCCTATACGTTGTCGGTTTGTTTTCGATCTGTGAGTTTGACTGTCCCTTTGGTATCTTTCGCCCCTCTTTTTAATGAAGACAACATCACTAGACATTATTGATGAAGACAACAGCCCTATGCATTATCAATGACGACAACAGCCCTACATATTATTAATGAAGACAACAGCACTATACATTATTGATGAAGACAACAGCCCTATACATTATCAATGAAGACAACAACCCTATGCATTATAAATGAAGACAACAGTCTTAGTCATTATAAATGAAGACAACACTATACATTATTAATGAAAATGAAGACAACAGCCCTATACAGTAATAATGAAGACAACATCACTAAACATTATTAATGAAGACAACAGCCATATACATTATTAATGAAGACAACAGCACTATACATTGTTAATGAAGACAACAGCCCTATACATTATTAATGAAGACAACAGCACTATACATTATTAATGAAGACAACAGCACTATACATTATTAGTGAAGACAACAACCCGATACATTATTAATGAAGACAACAGCACTATACATTATTAATGAAGACAACAGCACTATGCATTAATTGATGAAGACAACAGCTCTATACATTATTAATGAAGACAACAGCCCTATACATTATTAGTGAAGACAACAGCACTATACATTATTAATGAAGACAACGGCACTATGAATTTTTAATGAAGACAACAGCACTATACATTATTAATGAAAATGAAGACAACAGCCCTATACATTATTAATGAAGACAACAGCACTATGCATTATTAATGAAGACAACAGCTCTATACATTATTAATGAAGACAACAGCCCTATACATTATTAGTGAAGACAACAGCACTATACATTATTAATGAAGACAACGGCACTATGAATTTTTAATGAAGACAACAGCACTATACATTATTAATGAAAATGAAGACAACAGCCCTATACATTGTTAATGAAGACAACAGCCCTATACATTATTAATGAAGACAACAGCCCTATACATTATTAATGAAGACAACAGCACTATACATTATTAATGAAGACAACAGCACTATACATTATTAATGAAGACAACAGCACTATACATTGTTAATGAACACAATAGCCCTATACGTTGTCGGTTTGTTTTCGATCTGTGAGTTTGACTGTCCCTCTGGTATCTTTCGCCCCTCTTTTTAATGAAGACAACAACACTATACATTGTGAATAAAGACATTTTAGATTGACAATAATTTGCGATTTTTGTACATTAAGGAATAAAGTATTGATCTTAGATCACTTAAAAGTCTCTTTTAACTTTCTAAATAAAATATTATATAATACCGTGTCAAATGTCGGATGGACAGTTAACTTTCATTGAAGACCATACATTGATCTCCAGATGTCTGATTGGGTTTCATAGGATACATTTTTGCTGTTTCATTGACGCGTACACACATTTGTATTGCGACACTTTCAACCATAATTATTTTATTAACAATATCGATGCAGTCTTCAAAGACATATTTCTATTTTGCCAAGACACTTTGTCAAATTTGAACTTTTGATAAACGTTATTGGTTCTTTTTTTAATTAAGGTTGATGTCATAGAATTCGAAGATCAAAAGCTTTCAGATGTCTATAAAATGTTGGTCTCGAAAACATAGCATTGTGCATAAGTAAAGATGTGTAGTGGGCGATACAGTCTTCTTTGAGTCCCATGTACTATACTTGTACTCCTTGTTTTTGCAGATGGAAAAATTGATCCTTGGTATTAACTGGTTCCTTGACACTAGTTCTAATTGTTATCGGTATTGTCATTGAAAGAGTAAAGTATGTCAACAAAAGGTATTATAATAAAAAAAAATAGGAAGACTTGATACATTTTGAATATCATTCGAAACAAATGAAATATCATTTTAATCAGAGAAGTGTTAAACAAGTTAAAATTATTAAAAATGAGACCACGATAAAACGGATCATTTGTCATTGAAGATATCTGTTAAAATTAAACAACTATTTTGTCGTTATAATCTTCTAACAGTTGTTTCCAGAATGGAATGAAAAAAATAGATTCTAAAGTTCGAATTTTACTATACCCAAAATTCGGTTTGTCACGATGAACAACTTATTCATGAACACGTGAAAAATAGTCATGTTCTTTTCACCACATCTAGTCGACACTTTTCGCATGTTATTGACACCCATATACGATGGTATGCTCGAATACTTAATTAAGATCAGTAGATCCTGCTGTTAATTTTTTTTTTTAATCACAACATGCACTTGGAGCTAAAAAAAAAGCATGATGATTTTCATAAACAACATTGTTCTATATGTAATTTGTATCGTTTACAACAGCATACCAATGAGTGCTACAAAGAAAAATTGCAACAAATCTTAATCACTTTAATGAATTGACAGCACAGGGGAGTATTTTTTAGTGTTTGGATTACATTACAATTATGACACACCTTTTACACTAGGTAAATTTGAATCATCTGCAAATTTAGGGAACGATAATATTACGATAATCAGGGGAAAAACACCTCCCTCATTTGCAGATGAAATATCTAGCAATGGTTCGGAACAAGTAATAACACGTCTTGCATGGGGTATTATTTCCTTTAAAGCATGTTAATCATTATTGTACGCACCTGACTAATCAGAGGAAGCAAGTCAACTTGCAACAGCAGGATTTGACGTCGCTTTGTTTAATTTAGTTATAACCAATTTAACAAATTCACAATGTAATACTAACAATGAATATCATTCAGTATTCGGAACACCCTTCGGTGGATGTTGAACAAACGAGTCCCTTGTGTCCCTACCTTGATGGACATTCTTTCTGCTAATATGTATCAAGTTTAGTCATGTTCAAAAATGAGTCCTGGAACGATTGCAGTTTCCCGCTTGATAGGCACCACAAATCGGATTGCAATTTACTTATTCTTGATCTGTTTAGTTGAGGACGCACAGTTGTGAATGAAAAACATGAAACCATTTTTATGACCCATTTTGATTAAACGCAAAACTGTGGCATGCAACCGTTTAATTTTGTTTAATTGGGAAAATTTTCTCAAGATATGAGATTAATCAGATACGTTTGCCTGACTATTGAAATAACTTGGTTTTTCTATGTTGTGCTTTATAAAGATTTCTTCTCTTACTTACTGTGCGAGTCCAAAAGCATTGTCAGAAAAATTCAAGGATGTTCGTGTGACACATCGTACTTAAACCTGTTCTAAGCAGTGCTTTCATCATCGGAAACAGCTTTACGTTTGTGTATGTCATTGAATAATAAGTTTGGAAAATCACTACCTGGTATTTTAGCTTGGTCCTGTTCACCGTCATCGTCACTTGAAGACAAAAATCAGAGTCTGACGTAGATGATGTATAATTGAAACTGTTGAGTAAACTCTTAGGCCTGTTTGCTGATCTCATCAATTTAACGTAACTTATCAATGCTGGTAACTTGACTGTTTTAACTTTCTGTTCACTGCCATTCTTAGAAAAGAGAGGCAAACGATACCAAATGGACATTCAAACTCATTAGTCGAAAAAAACTGACAATGCCATGACTAAGCTTTGTTTTTTGTTTTGTTTTTTTTTTGTATCGTCATCAGATGTGTTCATCACCACAAGCACGTGTTGCCCTTTCAACAAATTGCGTTCCATTATTTTGTTCTTGATAGTTATTACTCAATCATTTTATCATGTTCGTTGACACGTTTAAAGTTGTAGGATGATTTTGATTAGCACTAGCATGTGCTCCATCTTATTTCTGTGTCACTGTCTGAACCACGCGTTCAGAGCCATGTTCTCATGTTCAGAAAGCTGTGGGTAATCAAAATCGATCCGCATGTCAAATTTACAGAAAAAAATGTAATCCTTTAGATAAGTTTAAGGTTTCTTTATTCTCTTTTTTTCCTTTAATTACACAGAAACAAAATGCATATGATATGTTTCTGTAACATCACCTCCTGCTTAAAACCACATGTTAACTGAAGCCCGGCTGAAGGACACAAGGGGTACAAATGCATACCAAGTCGTTATCAAGTATGTACAATGATGGTTGGCTCCCATTGTGCGCCATTCAAAATATATAAATGAAGTTGACGTTCATAACTTTTTCATCTATGAATATTTTTCCAAAATAAGTCGTAGACGCATAAGAAAGAGCCGAAGATATATTGTTGTACTTATTATCCTATTAAATATTAATCTGAAGTATTCTCCCTTTTTTTTTTAGACTAGACAGAATACATTCTGATTATAGTCAAGAGAGAAAAACAATAGCAAAAGAAAATACCTACATACATACGAATCCTAATCAGGAACTTGAAAAGTCACAAAGTCCAACGAGTCGAAGTGAACACATTACATCTCCTACAATCAAAGAAGAACAAACTTCTTATAGCGAAGTCCAGACGAAAAGAAGAAGTGATCAGATATCAGATAACTATTATCACTTAAACAATAAAGGATCTTTCAAATCAGAGGAAAATAGTTATATCCATAACAAAACTGGTACTTATGATCATTGTCAACCAATCGCACATTCTTCAGATTGGCATTATGATAAAGTGGAAGTCAACAACTCGGGAATTAGTTCTAACTCGCATCGACGAAATATCTTACTTTATCCGCGAGATGATACCCCTCCAAAACTAGAGAGTGATGCCAACGTTGATGAACAAAATATCAGTCCGTACGTTGATGAAGCTGTTATCAACGGAATGAAAGGTGCTTATAGACTTAGATCATTGTCCTCTTCTACTGACGTTGATGAAAGTATAAGA